AAGGAAAGATGGAATGATATGGTAGCAGATAGCTGCCTACTTTACAGGTCAGGTTACTGCAGATTCAAGTGGAATGCACATTAAATTATATGACGGATGGCACCAGTGTCCATTTTAGGATCTGTCTAAATCCACTGCATGTTATTTTCCTTAACAGGACATGCAGATTGACAGGCCACCCAGCCGCATCAGCACTCAATTTATTTACTCACATGCAAATGCTGTAAGTAAATCCTAGCTATTGGGACAGGTAGAAAATGACTTAGCTGTTTAGCTTTCTGAGGTTCCACATACTCAGCAACTGCTCCAGGATTCGAACCCAGCATTCTTAATCAAAAAAGCATTTTAAATCCAGTCATGAAAATCTCCCAACCTTATAACAGGAATTGGCGCTGAATGCCTGAGAATTGCAAAGGACCTAGGTGTAATCTTTTCTTCTCATTAATGAGCCTGGTTCAGAGAACTGAATGGATTTTAATGGGCTACGTTGCAGCATGATGTGTATTCCTCTCAATCACTTTTGACTCGAAGAAAATTATATTAATTGTTCCAAGAAAATATGCCATAATGGAGAACAGTCTGACTGAGCACCAGATTTACAGGAAGGTCCATGACAAATGACAACAGTCAAAAAAGGATGGAGAAGAGGTCAGCCAGGAAGACAAGCTGACACTGTGACAAGCTTCCAGATCCTGAAATCAAAATCCCCTCCTCTGCCAAACACGCTCCTTGAATTTGAATGTTGGACCCATTTCAGGAAAAGGAAGGTGAAAAGAAGCAGAGAGCACTGAGGCTTTGCTAGTCCAAGACGACGTGGTGCCAAGTGAATATTACAACAGCACACATGCCTTGAAAACTGAGTGCTATTTTTAACAACCTGTCAGGAAAAGCTTAATCAGTCACCTCAACAATACATGCATTTGTTTGGGGGGGTTTTAACACATTCCATTACGCTCTAGTTCCCTGCGGTCTCTACTTTTCAGAATTTTCCTCCACCAGAGGAAGGTTAAGATTTAAGAGCTGGAGTAATTAGTTTTAAAAATAGCTATTAATCTGAACTCCTCAGCCTCTCTTACTGGACTTAGTGTGTTCCCTTGCTTTCTTGTAAGGGTGAATTTTGTAGACATGAAGTAGTATATTAAATTAATATAATTAGAACTGGTTTGGAAATTGCACCCCACCCCCATCCCACAAAAATACAACAAACCCAAAACTTTCCATTTTTGACAAAGAAATTCTTGAAAAACCTAAAGACCTGAATAAATGTCAAGAACCCAAAACTATGCATTTTTTTGTTTCAAGCCAAAAAATTTGAGGCTTGAAGAGAAACTGAATATATACTTATAAAAACAAACATTTGTATAACATTTTCTGTTTTACCAAAACAGCCAAAGCAAAATGTTTCAGTAGTACACTTAGAGCAAGCTCAGATCTTAACAAGAGGAAGAAACGAGTAGGAGAATGCTTCCTAGCGTTCCCCAGTAATTAATAAATTGCTTGTCCCAGGTGAAATCAGCCCGACAGTCCCCCTTAGAGATCTAATCATGGAGTTCCACCATCTTTTCTTTAATTGACTAACTGTTAAAAGGTCACTCTCTGATGGAGTCCCTGAGCTTTTTATTTTAATTAGTTTCATGAGAAACCCGCAGAGCACTGGTGTGAAGCACCCCCATCCAGATGACAATTTTACCTGCTAATCCTGAGTTGAAAACCACCGTGGGGGAAGCTGTTCCTGGCAGAGGAGGTGCCGATGGTGGAGGTGGGGGTGGAAGCGGAGGAGCTGGCACTGTTTCTGCTGCTGGACCAGGAAGAGGAGGCGGTGGAGGTGGAGGTGGAGGTGGGGGTGGAGGTGGTGGGGGAGGAGGAGGTGGCATAGGTGCTGTCACAGGACCATTTTGTACTACAAAATGAAGGGGAAAATAAATGGTACCTCTTAAAGTATTGTATCAAAACACATCAAATGCCACAAATGAATGACCTCAGAGAAAATTAATAGCCACAACAGATTAATGTCTCTGGAACAGACTCCCAGCTTGTTTAAGCCGATGTAGCTTCACAGACTATAGCAGATCCATGCTGCTTTGAACCATGGATCTTCTATTTCAAATAGTCTGCACACGTGGCTGCTTTACCTACCAGTGCACATTCCATTAAAAAGAATGAAGTGAAAATACTTGCTATGACTCACATTGATCGTATTTTACATGTTTGGGTTAGTCCATTCGGCCACGTGTTAAGCTAGATCCAACAATATCTACCAGCATCACTGACCAGATTGATTTTCTAGTAATGAGCTATTTTTCACCTTCATTGGAGTTAATATCAGTGTAAAGTCACTGTGTGTGAAATCAGACACAATGAGATTTAGCATTACCTTCTACCAAGAGTATTCCTACCACTATATCCATAATATTCTCACCTGCATCAGATGCTGATGGTAACGGTGGTGGAGGTGGTGGCAATGGTACTGAGGATGTAGCCCCAGTAACTGGTCCCATGCAAGTGCCAGCTGTAGCTTCTGACCCTGGTGGTAATGTTCCAGAAGCCACCGCAACAGGAAGAATAGAGATGTCACCATCACCTTTCTTCTGAATTTTAATGGTCCCTTGCTTCTCCAGTTCATGGATTTTTTTCTCCAGGGTTGACTGCCGCTGGATGGCTTCTTCCTTTTCTTTGACCATTTTTCTCAAAGTATGAACCTGAGTATTTGCATCTTTGTAAATTTCCTGCAAAGGAGCCCAGAATAAAGAATGTATCTGCGTTCAAATAATAACATTGCAATATCAGACTCAGAAGAACAGGATGGCACTGGTTTGCATACTGAGCTAAATTATTGCCAAGCTGAGTATTTTGATATGAATCATCCTTCTTCATTTGTCCTGAAGTTCTTTTTGCAGTTTTTCATATGCTGGAACTAAGAATGAGTTCATTATTGATCTGTATAAGGTATCATAAAATCTAGGCATCAAAATGCTACTAGAACTGAATTTGTAGACATTGCTGTTAAAATATTTCCAACCTGCATTAGTGGGATGGTAGATGTGGTGATCAGCAACAGAAAGGTGAGCCAGGGCAGATACGGCCCCTGTCATCCTCCAGCTGCTATTCTTGTTGCTACTGCCATGGCCCTATCTCCTTGACCACCGACCTCACTACTACCCCATGCTAGAGCCACTGTTACCACATGCCCCGTGCCACAGCTAAACCTGCCATCCCTGCGTGAGGCACCCAGTGGTGACCAGAGCTACACCACACACCTCATGCTAGAACTGAAGCTGCTGCCACATGCTCTGGATTAGAGCCAGAGCTGCCATCGCTGCACAGGGCAAATAGCAGGAGCCGGAGCTGCACCACATGTCCTGGGTTGGAGCCACAGCTGCTGCCACATGTCCCAGGTGGGAACCACACTGTGTCCCAGACTGGATCTAGCCCGCAAGGAGCCTCAGGGTCCAGGTCCAGCCTGGGGTGCAAGGCAAGTCTGACACCTCCACTCTACCCCAATGATATTCCAATTGTGTCCATTGGAACCAACAAGACTTAAAACAAAAGAAAAGTAGACACACTAAAACACTTAAAAGCTTTAAATACAAGACAAATATCTAGTAGAAATTAAAACATTTAACAGTTTGTGGTGTACACTGCTTCTTCCCATTTCCCTCATAAGGCCTTTTCAACTCAGTGTGGAAGTGGCTCATTCCCTAGGTACACAATCCTCTCAATGAGATCTATGCATGGACAGTTCTGGAAAAGAGCTGACAATGATAGATGGTGCAGATATAACTATAGATATATATTATGAAGGAAGAAAGTCTTGTTATCTGAACAGGCTGATAGTGTTTGCCTGAGCCAGCCCAGCTTGTTAGCTGGTTTTCCTCTTACTGGACAAAGGTTATGAATAAAGCAAGGTCTGGTGAGTTGCTGAAATAGGAAGCACATTACTTGCTGTGACACTGGGAAGTGCTAATTGCTCTCTAGAGAGAGACAATCTTGTACGAAGGCTGAGTTATCTAGAGGTAGAAAATCTAAGAGCAGCCATATCTGAACAGAAAATCTAGGCTAAAGCTTATATCATTTCTGTTGATCAAACCATACCCCAGGAAGGGATAGAACTTGGACTCTACAGAGGAAGTGGATGGTTTGACAACACAGACATGACACCTGCTCACACATCTCTTTGCTATGCAGCCAGATGTTAAAAGCCTTTAATTCGGCCTCTTAATTTTCACCCACAATCAACTGTGTTTGCCAAGCTGTAGGCAGAATGAATTGCAGTCACAGAAGATAATAAGTCTGACTGGGTGGCATGATCAGGGAGTTAAATACTATATTCAACCTTGGTGTCTGTGTCCACAAGTAATTCCACCTAATCTGTTATCAGTGTAAAGATATAGGTCATTCAAAACAGTCAAGTTCAGAACGTTGCAACATTAAGTGCCATGGCTCACTGTCCTGCTCCCGTTTCAAACGGTGCATTCCACACTAAGCACAAAACAAGCTGGAGAGCTTTCTCCTAAATGCTGCATTCAGCTGGGATGCCATCATCACACTTACTCGAACTACGTCCAGTTCTTTGTTTCTCTGCATAAGCTGTTTTTCCAGTTCCACAATCTTTGCCATAGCTTCATTCTCTGTGTCTTGTAGTTTTTCCGATAACTGTTATTTGAGAGAGAGAGATGGTGACTGATTTCCCCACCCAAAAGCATCAGTAACATTAACTAGGAAAGTGGTACTTGCTAAGCTACTGATAATGGATCAAAGCCTGAAATCCTTATGTAAAGCTCCCATAGAGTCAATGGAAATTTTGACTGAGTAAAGATTTCAGTACACGGCCCATGAGTATTTATGTCCAGGGCATGACATGTTTTGAAGGCGCTGGTAAATATGACCACCATTTGTAGTCAGCAGCCAGCTGAATGGCACAGGAACTATGAATTTGCCCAGCAGAGTAGCCTAAAAATAAATCCAGGCTTCCAGACCACTTTAAATTAAAGCAGCTAGGGAAATGGTCAGTTTGACTGGAAAGTCACCAAAAGACAATAACTCAGGAGCCCCATAATGCCATTTCTGCAAAATCACTTGCATACTAGAATCAACACCATGGGAGATTCAGAAGCAGCAGGGTCTGCGTCTTGTCTTTCAATGATTTCCAAATCAAATGCAGTCATTTCACAACTAAGAAGAAGGGATTTTTATTTCTCTAATTTGCCAGCTCTATATACTTAACCTGGGATCTGAAATCACACTATTTTGTTGATTTAGCACATCAGTACCAGTGATTTTGATGCAACTGAGGTCTGATATAGGTGTTAATTTGCAACTGATTTCTATGCATCACACACTAGTAATGACTCTGCAATTGGAACATAATTAACATTTCCATTAAAAACATGAACTTGATAAGAGTACCACGTAGGTAAACATGTTGTTTAATGATATTAGGGGAAAAAAGTGTTAAAAACATTTTTGTTAAGAAGTAAGCAATTAGGGACCTATTAAGCAAGAACATATCATTAGTATCAAGTCACTGTTCAGAGCCAAACAGCACTTTACAGGACAAAGTATATAGTCAGTTCTAACCGCCTTTGAGAAAGAATGCATTTGTTCTAAGCCGATGCTCAACATCTGGAATAAAATTCCTTCAGGAATGAAGGAAAAAACTGACCTTTTTAGTTATTCTTTAAGTAGGGAAAACACTTTTGTTTTAAAACAGGAAAGTCATTTTTCTAGACTAAAATAACTGATAAAAAAGTATGGGATGGAAATGCTACAAGCAAACAGTGCATATTAAAACAGTGCTATTTTTCAGTCCTCGTTACTGAATCTTTACCACTAGAGACTCCAGCTATTTGTTTTAACAAGTCTAAATGCATATCTGTTCTTTATCCACCCTCTTGCAGCATCAGACACAATCCTGTTACTCAGGGATTTAAAATGATCCCAAATGCAGCAGGCCAGGCTTCCTCAGCCTGTTTCTGCTTTACACATTCTTAGTGTAAGTGTTGGAAAACATACTAAACTCCAACAGTACTTTTATGGAATGGAATGTTTATCTACTCTATTTATTTGTACTGTATTGCTATGGAATTTGCAATCTATATGTAAATTAGCTTTTCTATAACTCTTCTTGGGCTCAGAGTGGCAAATGATTCCATCTGGAGCTGGAATTCAACTGAAGTTAAGAACTCCTGAGCTCTTTAAATCCATAAGCTCCAACCTATAAAGCTAGGACTGTATATAGTGCTTGATCCATGATGGGTTCTCCTGTGAGGACACCAAAAACTACATGTACAGGGTATAGAGGCAATAAATATGAGTCCCCAAGACTGAAACAGATTGGTCATGCTGCTTATAATTTAGGTTATAAACAGGTTTCCCTGTCACCAGAGTACCTGGGTTCCATATATATGCCCTGTCTATGACTTCCTGATCAAATTACTAAGTAAGCCCTCAGCCAAAGCATCCCCACAATTCTGCACTGTGTAAATAATACTTAGATGGAAGGATTATTCAAGATGCAGTGAGCTATATCCATATGCTGGGAAAGAGAGATGATCTTCTGATTAACAAGGAAGAGCTGGGCTCAATTTCCAGATGCACTGGAAAAGAAACACTGTCCCTTTGACCAAATTTATACCACCATGGTCAAACAAGCCACGATGACCAATTACACAAAAGGACAGAAGGAAATATTTTCTCACAGAGTCTACTAGAGGCTTGAAGGAAAAAATTATACCTATGAATGCCCTACTATTGGCCAATGAGTGCAGCACACAAGGACTAAAAATACATTTTTTGCATGTCTTGTGTTTCACTCAAAGCTTCTTAGGCATCAATGAAACCACATGGATACTATTATTAAGAAGTAGTCATAGAGACAAATGCTGTCATTTCGCTGCTGGTACGAAGGACTCTGAACTGAATTCCAAGTCAATTCCAGGTTCTAAAAAGCAGCAGCAGCCTCTACCATAGTCCTACTGACTCCAGGTTGGCAGTGTCCCTCCAAGAAATACAGGAAAGACTTCTTTCTTTTTTCTTTTACAAATGAAGGAAACAAAAATTTCTTCATTTCTTTAACAGAGGAAATGCCGCACATAGCAGCATCTAGAGCTCCATAACTCCATAACAAATTTCCATGAGAGAAACCATCCCTGAGACATCTCTTCCTGACATTTTCCATGACTTATTTAGGTTTCAGTGCCAAAAACCTGCTTATTTTCTTATCAGCAGCAGCTGAGCAGCCTCAGTGCATAAATGGCTTCTCTCAGGGAAAGGCTCCTTTACCCTCTGAAGGTCTACCTCTGGCTATGCTTCCTCTTAACCCTAGCAACATCATTTAACAGTTAATGTGGAAGCTGAGATAGCAGATTCTTAATGACACTGAATGGTAAAGTTAATTTCAGTTTTGTACTAACATGAGAAATATTTTCTTCCAGTTCTTCAACCCTTTCCAAAGCTGCATTCTTGGTTTCAGCATCTTCAAGCAAAGCTCCAACATCAAACACATTGTCCAAGTAAGCTTGAATCTGCACCTGTAGTTTGTCACTCTCTGTGTGTTTCAGCTTCTGAAAGTCCAAAGCACAAGTATCATTAATGCATTCAGCAGCAGGCAATAACCAGGCCACCCAGATAGAAAGGTTGCAGGAGTGTCGCAATCAGGTTAGGCCATTTTCATATTTCAGCAAATTGCTGAACGTTCGTAACCTCCCAAAGGATCAGAAATAATAAACAATAAACTGAGGAGGCCCCAAATGTTCTGAACTTAAAAAATAAAGCAAGGCAGTATTTTGTTCTGCATCAACATTAGCAAGTTCTTCAGTGTCCTCTGTTACAGACCTTAATGGACCCTAACAGCACACAGACAATCAGAAGGTAAAGACTCACTGATGCGCCATGTAGATCTGGGACAAACATCTGCTTCTATGAGCCAGATTGATCTTAGGAACTGGCTCAGGTCAGGGATGGCATGGACTTGAGCCACAGCACTGCAGTGGGAAGCTCTGGGAGAGGGTAGGTCATGATCCAGGAGACAAAATACCTACTTCCTGCAACTCTCCAGCATGCAGCAGAAATAGCCCATCTTACCAGTTAGAGAGTGGGGCTCTGATACCTTCCTTACATGCCAGAGGTGGCTACTGCCCGAAGAGGCAGCAGTCCCTGCATGAAGGTATAAAAATACAATGGGGTAACTGCCTGACACGTGAAAAGTTCCCTGTGCCTTACTGTCCTTGTGCACATGCAGAAACTCTGTCATTTCCCCTTGATGAGCCTATATGACTGGGGTTGATTGTAAACAGGTTGGGAAAATATTATAATGAAATCTCCTTTTAGATAAGCAACAGTTTTTGTGCCAATGCAACAGCCCTAGTGCAGAAAGCACCCATTGTCACTGAGTCTAAATATTCCTAGCAGAAAGCAAAAAGTAGCTTTGTCTCTATTGCCACAGAGCAAAGCCAAAAGCCAGCAGGAACAGATGAGCTCCTACACAGCAAAAATACTGTTTTCATGTAAATGTTCCTAATAATAAAACACCAGGGGAGAGAAATACCAGAGGAGAAAAATGTGATATAAAAGCAAAAATTCCTTTAAATAGCACATTCTCCAGAAGGTGCCAGCAAATTTCTAACAGTCAGAAATTGCTAGTCAACAATCCCTAGGGAAGCAGGGTGTGTTTAATTTCTCTGGGTAGGAGACCAGCACCATAACCATTATTCATTTGAAGATGCACCATCCTACACAGACTTTACTCAACAAATGCTCCTCAGATTCAGCAAGGGACTTCAATCACAGGCCAGTATTTTTACAGTATTGGATCTCACTGAATAGGCTCCAATACTGGAAGTGACAAACTATCATTCATGATCACCTGGCCTATTACTCCCAGCTGAGAACTTCAACTTTTGAGCAAACTCCAAAGATGTGACTACTCTCAGTAGAGGGTCAAATTTCCCCTGGGGAGATACAAGTTGACAGAGACAATCAGTACATTTTTGGCACAATATGCATCAGATTCCAAATCTTGTTACTCCTCAAACCTCTCCTAGGTCAACAAATTTCAGTGGAGTCAGTGGATCCATATCTATTATTCTTTCCAATATCCCTTTTATTAATTTCAAATATGACCCTCCCACATGCTGCACTTGGCATGGACTTCTGTGTATGTACACAGATAAGAGGATGCCTTTTTCTTGTAGGTAAAAAATGTATATACTCCTAAATGCTCAGGGTCAACTCCTAGAGAAGAGACATGCTAAACAGACCAATGAGGTTAGACAGGCTTAATGACTATTTCAGCATGTGGATTACAGAGTCAGGTACAAAAACATAACAGACAAGAAGGGTAATAAAATAGTAAAAGGAAGACTGAACAAAGTCAGACAGACAGTTCTGTTCACAACAGACTTCAAGTTTCCAAGCTGCCCGCTGAAATTGTTTCTTTGCCCTTTCAAGTTTTCATTTTTTACAAAGTGATCGTTTATACATGTTGCCTTGCCAGAATCATGGTTGGATTCCTGCAGCACACAGCAGAGTGTTTCACTCCTGGAAAACTCCCCTGACTGAACACGATGGTCGGGACTGAACAAAGCTCTCAGAAGCTGACACGGCTGCAGATGGAATACAGCATTACTGGACCTACTCACTGCTGTGAGGCTGCTGGTAAAAAACACATTTAGCTGCCAAAATGTCTGAAATAAATCCAGCCTTCTCAGCAGAGAGGCTGTTTTACCGGAGATGCATGGGGCATATGGATTCTGGTTCCAGCTCCTTGGAACAAAGGCCATTAAGCTTGTAGAACGAAACCCATGTAGACTATGGGTTTCATTCACCTTGACTGGAACAGAAACTGGTTGCATATTTTGGTTATAAAAAATACAGAGCAAAGGACACATTCTCTCCAGCTCAATAACTCCAACTTGGAGCAGGGTTCCAGCATCAGAAAGTCCACCGAGGAGATTGTAGCAGCAGAAGAGACTTGGAATCTAACCTTTACCAAGCAGTCACCACAGCTCTAAAGCTGTGGCAAAGCTAAGGCAGGAGAGTAGACCTAATATAACAAATCCCTCCTAGAGCTTTTGTTGCTGTGGTTTCAATGGGTCCCCAATAAAGGTGAAACCTTTGAGACGGACTGGCCTTTGCTGATAGAGAGAGATATCATTTTCAACTTTCAGCATCAACCTTTCTGCAACTAACCCCCAGCAGTCACAAAGCATAAAGAAAACCAGGCAAGCTGCTAGCACTGTGCAACTATGGTTAAGTCTGGTAAAACCATTTGGAGACCATCAATTCCAGAAAATGTAATACTAGGCCATACTCACGTCCAAATATTCATCCAGGCCTAATTTGGTAAATTCATACTGGAGATGAACTCTGAAATTCATGTCCTCTACTGAGTGGACAACAATGTTGATGAACTGCATACATGCCACCTGTAGGGAACAATCACCACACAGTAAACATTTAACAAAAAGCAGCAGAGCAGCCTTTTCCACAGAAGAGCAGAATTGACCATGCTGCACTAGAGCACTTCAGGACTAGTCTCCTAACACCTAGCTTTTGGGAAAAGCTGAGGCTTGAGAGAGAGAAGGAAATGGACTGATGATGTACCTGGCCAAGTGAATAGTAGGTGATGTATACACTGGCAGGAGGGGTTTGAAAGTATGAGAGTTTTGGTCTGATCCAATATCTAGTGGGGATATTGGATCACTTTCA